GTTACCATTAATTGGTGACACACAGTTCATCCAGAAGGAGAATGGGCTCTTTGGCCCCAGGCAGTGGGAGTTGCCTGGCCAGTAAGAGATTGGACAGGAGGGTCTGTGGCTTGGGAAATCAGTGCATTTGAGCCTGAGGAGCAGGCTAAGTCCTTGGGCCAGGTCAGGGGTTTTTGACCTGTGGTCCGTGGACCCCTGGGAGCCTGCAGACTATGTCTAAGATTTCCATACCACTATTGAAATTTGTTTAGGAGTTGGCAAATGAAAAAAGGTTGAAAACCACTGGGCTAGAGGATGTTGGGTACATTTTTCAAGCCCTGCATAATTAACCCCTCATGTGGGATCCTCTCAGCCATTGCACCAATGTCAGCCAGGAGCCGTATAAATCATGAGTCAGGCCTAGAAAATCATGAGGTATTAAAAATAATAATTTGGGAATGAGAGGATTTCTTCTGGTTTTGAGCTTTTAGGGTTCTGGTTTCCCAGTTTCCTTCCCCCCCCCCCCAGAACAAACAAACAAAAAAACCACATGAGGGCTAGAAACTTTACTTTTATTTTTTAATGAGATTGTTGTGGGTTCTGGGGCTCCAGGAGCTGGAGCTCAAAGAAATACACTAAATATTGGAGAATCGCAATAAAATCACAAGCGTTGACAATACAGCAGGAGGAATTTCATTGGTGCTAATGGGGTCAAACTCCTTGAGCTAGGCTGATTTACACCAGCTGAGGATTTGGCCCAATGGAATTCTACTGGTGTCAAACCAGTGCAAGCAAGAGCAGAATTAGGACAGTTGTGTCAGATTTGGGAACTTTTAAGAACATAACGGCCATACTGGGTCAGACCAAAAGTCCATCTTGCCCAATATCCTGTCTTCTGGCAGTGGCCAATGCCAGGTGCCCCAGAAGGAATGAACAGAACAGGTAATCATCAAGTGATCCATTCCTTGTCATCCATTTCCAGCTTCTAGTAAACAGAAGCTAGGGACGCCATCCCTGACCATCCTGGCTAATAGCCATTGATAGAGTTATCCTCCATGAATTTATCTAGTTCTTTTTTGAACCCTGTTATAGTCTTAGCCTTCACAAAATCCTCTGGCAAGGAGTTCCACAGGTTGACTGTGCATTGTGTGGAAAAAATACTTCCTTTTGTTTGTTTTAAACCAGCTGTCTATTAATTTCATTTGGTGACCCCTAATTCTTGTGTTATGAGAAGGAGTAAATAACACTTCCTTTTTACTTTCTCCACACCAGTCATGATTTTATAGACCTCTGTCATATCCCCCCTTAGTCGTCTCTTTTCCAAGCTGAAAAGTCTGTCTTATTAATCTCTCCTCATACAGAAGCCGTTCCATACCCCTAATAATTTTTATTGCCCTTTTCTGAACCTTTTCCAATTCCAATACACCTCTATCCCGATATAACGCGACCCGATATAACACAAATTCGCATATAATGCGGTAAAGCAGCCTCCAGAGGGGCGGGGCTGCGCATTCTGGTGGATCAAAGCAAGTTCGATATAACGCGGTTTCACCTATAACGCAGTAAGATTTTTTTGGCTCCCGAGGACAGTGTTGTATTGAGGTAGAGGTGTATATCTTTTTTGAGATGGGGCAACCACATCTGCATGCAGTATTCAAGGTGTGGGTGTACCATGGGTTTATAGAGAGGCAATATGATATGATATTTTCTGTCTTAACACTTCTGTCTTCTGAAGTGTTCTTAATCCTGCAGACTCTCCCCCTGCTCAAGCTTCCTGTGTCTGTAATGATATCTGCGCCTGACTGTAAACCATTCCGCCTCAAAGCTCTTTGAAGTTAATGATCAACTGAATGCTTGACAAACCTTAACAAACTGAATCAGGGGCCCCCCCTCTTTCCCTGACAACCCCTGGGACTTAGTATCTGCTTCAAGATGCCACCTTACTCTTTGTCCTGTGAGGCAAAATAACTACACTTCTTTTTGTTTTCGCTCAATTGCACGGTTTTATTGTGCAGTGACCCAGTGTCTGCCCATATCAGCATCACAGCCTTGTGAGGCCCATAATAAATACACCATGCTCTTTCTCTGCCTTGCCCAGCCCATGTGGGGCGGTTGGGTGAAAATTCTGAACTGCTCTGTGAGTTTTGAGAATGGTAGCGAACATGGTGCCAGTCACAACCGTTTGAGGTGTGAATACTCAAGGAGGATCCCAGGATCATTCTTGGAGACTGAAGCAGTACAGTTAGGAATGGGGGATTTGAAGTCTTTGGGGACTCCTGAAAACCCCACAGGGCTTGCTTGATATAGGCTCTGAGGGGGGTAGGGGCTGGAGGGGAATCCACCTAAATGTATGGAATGAGACAGCTGTGTGCTCTGAGGGACCATAAAGGGTCCAGAACCCTTTAAACACTGGCTTATAAGATAACACAGTCAATGAAATAGTCACCTAAACCTTTTATTCCAACCAAGATGTATGCCCTCCTCTCCTTTCTTCCTTCAGTGTCCGCTTCCATCTCCGTATTTTGTGTTCCTCATTGCTGTAGCAGTGGAACTCTGGACTTGGCATTTGGCCCTGACTGAGGTAAGATCAGTTCTCCTTGCCTCTAGCGGAAGTGCCTTCCATAGTCTAGGGCAGTCTCGTGCACGATTGGCTGAGTCTCACAGGTCCATGTAGCTATGGCGGAGGGAGAGGTGCTCTCTCAGGTGGCAGTCTCAGGCAGGACTTTCACTGCTTAGACAAAGAGATCGAATCAGCCTCAGTATTCCAAGGAGGAGCCAGTGTAAACTCTGGAGCAGCAAGATGACGTGCTTGTGGTGGTTTACAATGATGCACCAGCTTGTCTGTTCGCCTTTTTGTGAGTTGAAGTTTTTGTAAATGGTTTGGCTTCGTTCTCCTTTGAGCCTGAGTTTCAGAGGTAGAGGTGATCCCTCCTCCACCCCCAGCCCCACCCTGGTGTTCATCTAGTGGGGAATGAGCTTTTGCATAGAATTTCATGCTGTAATGAGGGGGCCAGTCCCTTTATCATGATGACAGGTCATCTGCTCCCAGCCCATCTTCCCAGCCCCCCCCCCCAACCTGCTGACCCTTGGGGAGAGGATATACTTCCTCTTCCACACCTAGCAAGAGTGAATGTCTTTTCCTGTGGAATAGTGTGGAATAGTGGGGGATCAGGGAGGTGAGGTGGGAGCTCATATCTTCTGTCTGGATTTTGCTCCTTGCTACTTTCCCATCTGACGACAGCTCTCCTGTCCCACGCTTAGATGGGGAGATTAGCAGGTGGATAAATGGGATGGACAACATATTTTCTATTGCCTGGAAAGAGGGGGTGAGCACTTCTAGGTTCCTTTCTGTCTGTCTTTCAGTCTCTTGGACCCATCACCTTGACACGATGGTTCTAGCTGTGACAGCTGTTTTTATTTTTACACTGCCTTGCTCCAGAGGCAACATGTTCAGCTCCTAACACATAGGGGATGGAAGGCAAAGGAGTTGAGTAACAGTCCAGAAGCCCAATGGACTTTAGGTGGAAGGGAGAGAAAAGATGAGGCCAGATTAATTTTGAGACTCTCCCTGCTCAGCATTGAGTAGCTTTTCCTGGGAGTGAGAGGATTTCTTTAGGACATGTGTTGTGGATGACCCTCCAAATGGTTTTGGGGATTTGGCCACATCTGGCCTGCGGGACCATCCTGCCCGGCCCCCGAGCTACTGGCCCGGGAGGCTAGCCCCCGGCCCCTCCCCTGCTGTTCCCCTTCCCCTGCAGCCTCAGTTCGCTCGCTCCGCCGCTGGCACAATGCTCTGGGCAGTGGGACTGTGAGCTCCTGGGGCAGTGCAGCTGCAGAGCCCAGCCTGACCCAGTGCTCTGTGCTGCATGGTGGTGGTGGCAGCAGCGTGGCCCGGCTCCAGCTGGGCAGTGCGGCTGTAGTGCCGCCAGCCACCGGTGCTCCAGG